CAATTTTTTAGAGTAAATTACAAATACACATTGTTTAAAATACAGATTATTTCATATTGTTTTAAAAATTACAAATAATCCATTGTCAAAATTTTCTATTTAACAAAATTAACAGAAAAAATAAAATTTCTAACTACTTTTCTATACAATAATAAAATTATATGAATTATTAATTGAAATATATTTCTAATACCATTAAAAACTGTTAATTAATTTAGTAATTTATTAATAGAATGAATCATTTGTTAAGTGATTAAAAATATGAAAAGGTAGAATATAATTTCCAAAATTGCAAAGGATTCACAAAGTGAGTTTGATCTAATCTCTCAAAGTCATGGTTTTTGTATCGAAATAGACAAACCTTTTTCAAGACAAATATTTTAAACAAATCTCATGATATATATTTATAATTTATTCTTTTTTAATAAATAAAACTCACTTTGCACTTTTAGTGGGTTTATTTATCACATCACACGAAGACAATTGAGTTTCTTTTAAGAATAGAATTAGTGGGGGGAGTATGAATCCAAGTTTACTTTCTTTCTTTTTTTCCCATTAGTACTGATTTTCCATCCACTTTCTAACTTTGGGTGTGTTTGGTAACGTTTACGTTTTCAGTTTATATTTATAAAAATTTTATAAACTGGTTTTTGTTTATTCTTTATTTATTTTTAGAAAAACATAAACTACAAACATGTTTGGTAATTAAAAAAATGTTTTAAAAATATAAAAAATAGTGAGAAATGGCAAGTGACGGCGAAAGACGATGGTGGAAAGTGATGATGGTGGGTGGCAGGACTCTCATATCTACGCCGCCACATCTGCAATGAATATGGGCTCTTTTAGCGAAAAAGGCAAGGAGGATGACGTCGAAGACGAAGTTAGGGAAGATGGCGCCACATAAAGAGTAATGGAGGTCACCGCCACCAAGGGATTGGTGGGGGATTATGACTTAGGAATTAGGATTTTGAATGAGGAAGATAAAGTTATTTTGATAATTTTATTTTTGGATGAGTATGTGCACAAAGAGTATATAGTGTGTGGAAATAGAATTACCCAATTTTTTAGAGTAAATTACAAATACACATTGTTTAAAATACGGATTATTTCATATTGTTTTAAAAATTACAAATAATCCATTGTCAAAATTTTCTATTTAACAAAATTAACAGAAAAAATAAAATTTCTAACTACTCTTCTATACAATAATAAAATTATATGAATTATTAATTGAAATATATTTCTAATATCATTAAAAACTGTTAATTGATTTAGTAATTTATTAATAGAATGAATCATTTGTTAAGTGATTAAAAATATGAAAAGGTAGAATATAATTTCCAAAATTACAAAGGGTTCGCAAAGTGAGTTTGATCTGATCTCTCAAAGTCGTGATTTTTGTATCGAAATAGACAAACCTTTTTCAAGACAAATATTTTAAACAAATCTCATGATATATATTTATAATTTATTCTTTTTTAATAAATAAAACTCACTTTGCACTTTTAGTGGGTTTATTTATCACATCACACGAAGACAATTGAGTTTCTTTTAAGAATAGAATTAGTGGGGGCAGTATGAATCCAAGTTTACTTTCTTTCTTTTTTTTTTCCCATTAGTGCTGATTTTCCATCCGCTTTCTAACTTTAAGTTTCAAGAGTTGGAATTAATTTCACGATTCACATGGATCACCCAACTCTATCCAAATAAGGCTAGCCCAAGATATACTTAAAAAAATGAAAATAAATAAATAAATAAAAATAAAAAAATAGATATACTAAAAAAATATAAATAAATTAAGACCTTCAAATTTATGATTCGGCTTGGTTATCCCTACTGGTAATATTATCCACGAGTTAGAGATGGATGATCATTAAAAAAGAAAATATGTAACTTTCATGTTGGGACCTGTTTTCATTTTACAAAAAATAAAAAATTACTAAAAATAAAAACAAAGAATATATTAGCGTGCCGACACATTTAGGATACATTACACTTTATCCCTTTTATGTTTAGTCATTTTTCTATTTTGATCCTTAAATTTTTTTTTTTAATTTTGGCATTTCATGTTATAATTTTTTTTTTCAATTTATTCCTAAAGCTAATTTATGTTCAAAATTAGATAAAAAAAATGTCACTTTAATTGTCACATTATATAAAAAATATATTTTTATATTAGGGTTTAGGTTTGTGTCAAAAGTATAAGCTATATATAAGAAAATATTTTTATGTCATATGACTGTCAATGTATCATTTTCTGTTTAATTTTAGACATAAGTTAGTTTTTAAAGTAAATTGAAAAAAACTTGAAACATGAAAAGCTAAAGTGAGAAAAAAATTCATTAGGTAGTTGATTTCGAAATCAACGGAACACAGATTTGGGAGTTTACTCGTTAACCGAAAAAAGTGATTAAAAAAAAATATTCAAAAGCAAAAGCGGAAAAAAAAAAAAAACAAAATTTAGTCAATAATAATAGACTTTTTTTGCTTTATTATGACTTTTTTTATTTTTTTTTTAATTTCAAAAAGATATGCATCATTTAAAGTCTGCCCAACTCCTAGATCAAACGTAATCTAACCATTTTAAGCTCAGTCATAAAATAAAAAAACAATAAAAATAAAAATTCAAATTCCAAACTCACTCGCTTAATCAAATAAATGTATACTATTAGCTTGAAGAGATATTAAATTATTTATATGCTTTTGATTATTATTTGAATGTGAAACGTTAACAAAATTCAATAATAAAATAAATATAATTCTTTTAACAAATATTTAATATAAAAAAATGTTAGGGACCTCAAATATTTTATCAAATATTATACTAAATATCTCACACGGTGCATGGGTGTAGGAACCACACCATGTGAGACATTTGATAGAATATTTGGTAAAATATTTAGGGTTTCTAACATTACTCTTAATATAAACATTAGAAAGAAATATATAGTATATATTTTTTAGCAATGTTAGGAATCCAAAATAATTTATAAAAAAATATACCAAACACTCATATGTGTGTGAAATCCACAACCATGTGAGTATTTGATAATATTTTTTATAGATTATTTGGAATTTTTAACATTTTTGTATATTTTTTATATTTTATAATTTTTTTACTTTATTTTATAATCAAAATAATATAAAATTATAATTAATATTTTACAAATGGGCTAAGTCAGTGGATTGGGCTAAAACCCATTATCTCAAGCATAATCCGAATATTAAATGGACATAATATTTTAATTCAATCTGATCCTATAAACTAAATATTTTTTTAAGATCTTAAAAATATGAGACTGGGTTAAACAGGTTGAGTGAGCCTTCCCAGTCCGCTGCCCGGCCCAGTCGAAAGCGAGACTGAAAAAGGGTAGAGGTAGGAAGAGTCGAACAAGTAGTATAGTCACAGTCTAGTAGTTCGATCCAAGACAACTCTCAGGCAACCGTGGCCACCTTAAAAATATTAGTTTATATATTTTTTTAAGATCTTAAAAATATGAGACTGGGTTAAACGGGTTGAGCGGGCCATGTGGCCACCTTACTTCTATGCAAAGGTTTACCTCCACTAAATAAAAATTCTACTCCACACCCTGGGTAGGACAATTTTATTTGTGTATACACACTTGGTTGTACCAAATATATTTAGTACAATTCGTCTTAAATTTTTTAACCGGTGGTTTTTGAGTTTTTAAAATTTAGCGATGATCTTATTTATATAGAAAAGAAATTTGATGTTTCAAATTTTGTTACTTAATCATTTTTCTAAGAATAATATTTGCACCCACTAAAAGGTGTGCAGGGCGTTATAACAAATTCACCTCCAGTATACAATGAAACCTGATCTAAGGATCAAGTTTATTGACATTTGCACTAATGACAATAGATTAGAATATTCTTGATATAATCAAGAAAACTAAGACACTGATAATCAAATCTGCATAATTTGATTACCAGTAAGAAAAACAAAAACTTACTTAAAAAACTCTTGATCGGAAATTCTAAATTAAGAGGGAGAGAGACAGACAAACAGACAGACAAAATTGCATGAATGTTTTTTGAATTTTTTGACAGATTAAAATGGCTGATTTCGTAGCTTATTTATAGGCCTTAATGCATCTAATCGAATGGTCATGTCCTTTGATCGCATCCAATCAGGTCTGACTGTTAGATTGATGATCTATGGTGCAGATCATTCTCACACCAAATAGATGTCTTGACTGATGACACCTGATCATGATCAGGTGCCATCTTATCCGTACAATCGCACACATCTCCAATCAACGGCTATGATCAAACCGCTCCAGATCGAACACGCAACTGTTCGATCAGTTGGTTGACTCATCGCCAACGAACGCCACTTCACTGCCAGCGGAGTTGACTATATTCCACGCCACCCATGCCACATTGAATCCACGTCGTCGCTTCAACTTGTCTGATGCAAATAGAAAAGCGTCCTCATGGCGCCAATGTGTCCATGCAAAGTGCACCATCGCCAACGAACACCACATCACTGCCAGCGGAGTTGACTATATTCCACGTCACCCAAGCCACATTGAATCCACATCATCGCTCCAACATGTCCGATGCAAATAAAAAAGCGCCCTCATAGCACCAATGTGTCCATGCAAAGTGCATCATCAAATGTCACATTGCCCAAGCCACGCATGTATGTGCAGATGGTGCAAAGCAACATTCTTGTGGTGTGAATACATACTTCATGTACTCACAATTCCATATTTAAAGAAATATTCCATATAACATTTTATTAAACACTTTCATGTTTTGCTCTCTTTTCAATGTGGAACAAAGTCCTCAAATTTATTTCAAGTTTTCTTAAAAAAAACAAGGAAAGTTATGAAAATACACAAAAATTACACTATAAATTTTGAAAATCTTTTTGAAAATTCCCCAACAATATATGCAACAAAAGCTTGTTGTAATGTTTGTGCGTAAGAGAGAATTATAAACTTGGAAGGGCCTCTGTTTACATGAACTTGATGTTAGGCCGTGAATTGAAGCTTAATAAAAAGAAAATGAAAGAAGAAATCTTATTCCATTTTATAGGTACATAATCAAAATAAACAACATGAATGGCATTTGTTAGACAAAACCTGTCCATTTAAGAAGCCCATTTCACTTTGACGACACGACTGAGGATCTTCAGTCTCACTCACCTCCTATCTCCTTATTGTAAATTCCCTCCATGCCACATGATCAAAGCCAAAAGAAATAGATCGTGGGTTAGATAAAAGTAATTTGAAACAAAGAAAGAGAAAAAAGTAAGACAGAGCATCCAATTCCTCAAGACACCGACTCTTTCCACTTTCGCGGAGTCCTTCCTCCTTGCCCGAACTTTGCCTTTAAATCCATCGGCGTTTGTCGCCCAATTCCACCCTCACCTTCTCCTTCCCCCTCCTCAATCCTCTCACCCAATCCACTGACATTTTTCAAAGCCGGCACTCCCAATTTCTTCCACCTAAAAAACCCTTTCTTCTTCTCCAACAACCTATCAATCTGTCCCTGCATGGTCATGCATTGGCTTTGCAGCCTAAGAACATCTTCTTTCAACCTCTTTATCTCCATCTGTTGAGCTGTCATTTCACGCTTTGATTGGCACCGTGCAGGCTGCTCGAGCCCAAGGTTGGGGCTTCTTGTTCCGGTGGTGAAAGAGCCACTCCAATCAACCTGTCGGTTGAGCTTGGTTTGCTCGGAGAAGAGGACTTGGATTACGGCTCGAACAGGCAAGCGATCGTTTTGAGCAGCATGGAGAGTTGCCTCCGGTGAGAGTTTTCGACTATCCATTAATCTACAGAGGGTCTTTCTTTCTTGCTTTGATACCCCTGGATGGGCCTGCCATAAATGAGCCTATCTTAACTTCATTTTGGGCAAAGAAATAAAGTTTAGTGCTAATATAAATAAATTAAATTAATAACCGATATTCACTTTTCACCCGGAACAAAAAACTACATGAATATAATAAAGAATGAAAATTTATCCTAACTGAAAAAACTTACACAACTTTGTACAAAACAAAATGGATTTGGCAAGAAGTGAACAACACATATCAGGGATCCTTTGTTATTTTTTCTATGTAATCTGTAATGATCTTGTTATGGTAATCTAACGATCCAAGTTTAAAGTTGAAATAAAATGACTTAATTTTGAAATGTATAGTTTAAAATAAAAATACATTATTTCAATAAAATTTTAAATCACTGAATTATGTATTTCGATAATGTGTCTCAAGAAAGTAAAAAAACACAACAAAAACATTGCAAAGAAAAAATGACAGAGGATCAAGTGTCACAAATACACCCAAAAAAACAGACTCCCTTCACAATAAAATGAATAAGCAGGCTAATCTTAAAAGAACACCACAAAACAGGGTTATCAAAGCAAAAGAACATCAATATGTTCATTGTATTCTCTAAAAGAAATCAAATCACTGTAGATTTGCTAAAAACAACACGATAAAAAGTCAACATATAGCTATGCACTAAATCTAGGTTGTACAATCACAAATCCCAACAGATTCCGTGTACCAAAAGCACATATAACTTTACTCTTTTCCTCATTGCTGAGAGCATGTGAGACAACAGAAAGAGCCGATCTACCAAACACATATGCTATACATCTTTTATTAAAATTTCTGGTAAATATCTACTCTGACAAATGCTATAGACATTTTATTTTTCTCATCAACTATATGTTACGTTACTGTTGTCAGGATATGCCAAAATGCTCTCTCTCTCTCTCTCTCTCTCATTCCATATTGCTTAGAATGTGGTGCTGGAGACAAAACAAGATCAGGACCCCACCCCCTGTTCATTTCCCCCTCCCCCCTTCTTTTGTTTCTTTTTAGGGTTCTAAAATAGAATTTTCTTATCATGTGAACCTAGAAAAACCTAGAAAACTCCAGCCATAAAACTTTGAACCCAAAAATAATCCGGATTCGGGGCGTAGTTTTGGATGGTTAGACTCAAAGCCCCTCCCAATTGGTGATGCGGGGAATCGAACCGTAGTCCTTCCTACCAAGTCAAGCTCCAATCGCCACTTGACCACCAACCAATTGGTTTTTCTTATCATGTGAACCTAGCAAAACCTAGAAAACTCCAGCCATAAAACTTTGAACCCAAAAACAAAAAGAAAACTGTGTTGTTTAATCACTTGCTATAAAATAATAAATAAACAAAAAAAGTCAAGACTGAAAATAAATAAACAAAGTTCTTGTAATTTGTTTTTGCGTCAATTTAAGTTTTATAATTTTAATTGTATCAGTTTTATTTTTAACTTTTTTACATTATCTCAATTTAATCCAACCGATTGAGTCTTATTAGAAATTAAATTAAAATCAATGAGTAAAAAATAGTTCATTTATTTTTCTCAGAATATTGATTACGAAGCTGACGTATAATTTGAAATGACTTATTCTCTTTTGAATTTATTATTTTGCTCTTGATTTTTATTGAATTTCTTAAAATATCATCAATAAACTAAAACAATGTGAAGAATTAAAAGACAAAATTAATATAATTAGAATTAGGATGTGCTTGGCAATTGACTAATATAGATTTAATAGGCAAAAAAATCACTAAAAATGTTAAAATGTCAAAAACTCAAAGATTTACATCTCATCCATCATAATTTTTGTATTGCTTTTTGTAAAAAGTCAAAAGTCTTTTTCAAACATTTTTTTCATCTGATATTTTACTTAGAAAATCAAAAAATCAATTCTCAAACAACCGACCTAATTACTCAAGAAATAAATTACGGAAACTACATGTATAATTTGATTTGTTCAACAATTGGATTAACTAAACTAAATCTTTCGGTTATTTGTAAATATTACTTTACCTGAACTCATACATGTTGACATGTTGGTTTCATTCCCTTAAAAAATAAAAGGGTAAATTACATATATCCCTTGAGGTTTGGCTAAATTACAGATATCCCCCTGAGGTTTTAGAAATTACAAATTTCCTCCTGAATGCTATAGTTGCATAACAAATTAAGGGGCAATTTGTTATGAAATACAAACCTCAGGAGGCAAATAGTTACGAAAATACAAACCTCAGGGGCTAGGATGTAATTTCTGAAACCTCAGGAGGGTATCTGTAATTTAGTTAAACCTCAAGGGAGGTATATGTAATTTGCCCATTACATCTCCCTCCTTGAAGTTTAAAGTTTCATTATAAATTCCCCCTCTGCAATTTAATTTTTTTTAATACTAATTTTGCCCTCACTGGGTAAATTACATTGACACCCCTCACATTTTAAAAATTATAATCCTCTCCCTAAGGTTTAAAGTAGCATTACCAATAGCCCCATCGGTTAGTTGTAAAATTTTAAATTTCAGTTTAAAAACCAACGTAAACTCCTTTTTTGAATTTACGTTTTTTTCCTCAAATTTACAAACTGAGACAACCATTAATAAATCGAAAAAATTATCAAACAAGTTTTTATGACAATTTTTTAAATTTTTGTAAATATAAATTGAAAACTGAAAACGCAATGGGTTATCAAACAGGTTTCAGATGGTAAAAATGTCGTAAAATTAATAATAATTAAATAAGTTACCAACGTAAAAAATGAATTATCAAAAGATTCTTAGGCTATGTATGATTTGATTTTTAGAATGTTTTTTTAAAAATTAAAAATTAATTTGATTAAAAAATAAAAAAATAAAAAATAATTATCATTTTTATATAATTTTTATCTTTCGAGTGGTTAGAAATAATATTTTACAAATTAAATTGAAACAGCCATGCATATGTATATCCTACCCAAAAGTTCAAATGATAATTATTTTTTACCCTTAAACGATAATTATTTTTTATTTTTTTTTCTTAACCAAATTAATTTTTAATTTTTAAAAAAATTTCTAAAAATCAAATCATATATAGCTTAAGAATCTTTTGATAAGTCATTTCTTACGTTGGTAACATATTTAGCCTCTGTTTGGCAAGTTGGTTCTTGGGTTTTTTTGGCTATTTTAGCCACAAAAGACAAAATAGGCTATTTTAGCCATAACAAACAAAACATCACATCCAACCCATAATCATTACATTCTTCTCTCACAAAAAAACTCAAAAAAGCCAAAAAGCCAAAAAGCCCTTCCCAAACCAAGCTTTTAAGCCCAGGCTAAAATAGCTAAAAAAACCAAAAAGCCAAAAAGCCAACCCACTTCCCAAACGGATTATTTGTTAATCTTACTACATTTTTACCATCTAAAACCTGTTTGGTAACCATTTCATTTTCAGTTTTCAATTTATATTTATAAAAATTTTAAAAACTGTCATAAAAACTTATTTGATAATTTTTTTGGATTATAAATGGTTGTCTCAGTTTGTAAAGTTGAGGAAAAAACGTAAATTCAAAATATGAGCTTACGTTGGTTTTTAAACAGAAATTTAAAAAATTTACTAACAAAAAAATTTTTCAATTAATTTTTTTTTAATGAATTTTTCTTCCAACTAATACTAACCAAGGGAGCAATTAGTAATACTACTTTAAACCTTAGGGAGGGGATTATAATTTCTAAAATGTGAAGAGTGTCAATGTAATTTATCCAGTGAGGGCAAAATTGGTATTTAAAAAAATTAAATTGCTGTGGGGAATCTGCAATGAAACTTTAAATCTCAAAAAGGGAGATGTAATTTCCAAAACGTGAGAAGGAACTGTAATAAAATAAATCTTAGGGGGTGTCAGTATAATTTACCCAAAATAAAAAATAAAAATCAATTTTTTTTAAAAAATAAAAATTAATTTGACAAAAATAAATATTAAAATTAGTGTAATTTACCCAAAATAAAAAATAAAAATCAATTTTTTTAAAAAAATAAATATTAATTCGACAAAAATAAATATTAAAAATATTTTTTTTTAATTATTTTTGCTCTCCAAAATGATAAATTTTGATTTGTTTTTATTTTTTGACGAAACTAACTTTTATTTTTTTTTTAAAAAAATTATGAAACAAATTTTATAAACCAAATCAAACCAAACGGAACAGGGCAGTTGAGTTGACTACTTATAATTATAAATTATACAAATATCTATTCGAAGATAGCAATAAATTTTTATAATTGAGAATCAAAAAATACTGATTAATAAATAATAATAAATTGATATTTAACTAATAATTCTCTAATAATCAAGAATTATTAATAAAATTAAAAATGTATGTATGTATAACTTACTTTAAGGTAGGTATCAATGGCACGATACAAGCCATCATCGGTGGAACGAGCATGTCCGGGAAGAGCTCCGGCGAGCTCAACAAACTCCGGCAAGCTCAAATTGGAGTCCAGCGCGGCTTCCGCAAGGTAACAATCGACGAGCTTAGCCACCTTAACCAGCGCGGCTCCACTTCGAACCCCTTCATCCAAACTCACAAACTTCTTCACCAATCTCACAACAAGCTCAACATCCAACAACGTCTCGCAAGTGTGGCTAAAAGCCGGTATCATCAGCTCCTTCAGCGTGGCTTGATCGAGCTGCCAAGCTATCCTCCTCTCCAGCTCGGTTCTGTAAGCCGGCTCGACCCCGACGGCTCCGGCGGTACGGAGGAGGCGGAGGAGGAAGTTGCAGGGGATGGAGTCTTCTTCAGAGGGGAGAATTCCGACTAGGGTTTCGACGAAGAACCGCTTCTTCAGCCACGCGGCGGTGGCGCTCTGCGGTGGTTCGTCGGAGTCGTCGGCGGCGGAGTTGGCGGAGGAGGAGGAGAAGGAGGAGAGTTCCGGGAGCCATTTGGAGGCGTAGTGGGTGATGATGGATCCAATTAAGTCGGGTCGGACTCCTTTGGATTTGATGCCGGAGAGGGTTTTGACGAAGTAGTCCATGTCGAAGATGCAAACGTCGTCGAACCAGCACTCGGCGGCGAACGGTGGTTGTGGTGGTGGTGGTGGTTTGTAGGATTCCGGCGAGGTTGTGTTCTTCATTTGAGAGATAGAGATTCAAAGAATTTTGTGACTGTGTGGTGGTGGTGGTGGTGTGTGTGAGTTTTTTTTTTCACAAAGATTTATTTTTAATAACTTTGGCATTGTAGAAGATAAAAGGGTAAATGGGGAACAGAAGTGTATGAGTTGCCCCAGCTCACGGGAGCTTCTATTTACACACACTCATTCCCCTTTTTACACATCTTTTTCAATAAATAATTGATTCGGAAGTAAATTTTCGAAAATAAGCAATTGGTTCGGAAGTAGCTTTTCGAAAATAAACAATTGGTTCGGAAGTAGACTTCCGAATTTTTATTATTTTTTCGATAATCAACTTCCGAATGGATTTATTTGATGTCTATAATAGTAATTTCACCTGAAAAAAAAATTTATAATAAAAATAATTTTTAAGAAATGTGTGCAAAGAGGAAAAGGTGGATGTGTAAATAGAAGCTCCCCCAGCTCAGCTGTCATGCGGGTTTCTATTTGCAGACCGGGCTTCTTCTATTTTTTTCCTTAATTATTGAATAAAAATTTGAATTTTTTTTTTAAGGTCCCTAATAATAATAATTTAGATGATAAAGGACACTTAAAAAAATAGTGATGTATCAGGTCCCTGAACAACTTGGCGCGCGTTTTTAATTATTTTGTAGACCAAAATACCCTTGCCAAAATGAACACAGAAACGAAACTCATTCCGACGTTTGAGTTCCATTCCAAACATCCAGCATCTTCACGAACAGGAGAACAGCAGAATTAGGGTTTCAACATCATCTGCACCATCGACATTAGAGCTTCGTTATCTTCTCCAAAAATCATTCCCATTCTTTCCTCATAAATTTCTCTGACCTAGGTTAAAGCTTCGTTTTCACTGCTCATCATCATCTCAGTCCATCTTTGTCACGTCGCATCTTCATCTCGGGCCATATCAGCTCGTCATTCAAGTTTCATCCTAACTCTGGTCAGTTTTTTCACAATACAACTAGATTTTCTTTGAAAACACAGTTAATAGCATTTTATATTAACCTTCCATAAATTAGGGTTTCAATTTCGTAATAAAAAGCTACATGAATTTGAAAAAAGTTATTTCTGTATGTTTTGAACTTATTCTTAAACATGATTGTGTGATTTTATCTGTAAATTTCTCTGGCATTTGAATTTCTCTGATTTTTGCTTGATGTATGTTTCTTCTTTCAATTTTCTCTGTCATGTTTATTTTCACAAAAACAATTTTCTGTGTTTTTATCTTATTCTTTAACATGTTTCTGTAATTTTATCTATAAATTTTCCTGCTCTGTAAATTTCTCTGGAATATGTATTTTTCTCTGCAATGTCTATTACTCTCTTGCCCCTGTCTAAGTTTCTCTGATATTTATAATTTTCTCTGACCACATCACATCACTTTCCTCCCTTGTGTGTCTCTATCATTTTTAATTTTCTCTGAAATTTTAATATTATGAACTGGAATGAATGTTTCTTCTTTGAATTTTCTCTGCCATGTCTATTTTGAGAAAAAGTTATTTCTCTGAATTTTGATCTTATTCTTGAACATGTTTCTGTGATTTTGTCTATGAATTTCTCTGCTTTGTAAATTTCTCTGGAATATGCATTTTTCTCTGCAATGTCTATTACTCTCTTGCCCCTGTCTAAGTTTCTCTGGTATTTATAATTTTCTCTGACCACATCACACCACTTTCCTCCCTTGAGTGTCTCTATCATGGTTAATTTTCTCTGGTTGTGTATGTAAATTTCTCTTACATTTTAATATTATGAATTGAAATTATCTTTGGAATGAAAATTTCCTCAAGAATGTGTAATTTTCTCTGGTATGTTGCATGTTTACATTACTTTGTTTATTTTATCTTACTAATTGTGGAATGAAAATTTTCTTCCGCTTCCCATGTTTACTTTTTTCTATCATTCATTTTCTCTGGTATGTTTACTTCTATATGTAATTTTAACAATTATTGAAAATTTCTCTCCCATATTTATGATGTTGTGTTGATTTTCTCTGACATTTAATTTTTAATGTCCAATTTTCTCTGGCATGTCAAATTTTCTCTGGCATGTCCAATTTTCTGTAATTTTCCCTTATCTGTAATTTTCTCTAACATGTCCAATTTTCTCTGGGATTTAATGTTGACATCTCTATGCTTTAATCATTGTCTAGAAATGGCAAAACGTAAAGGCAGCGAAACACCGGAAACACCAAGCAAAAAACAGAAACTCTTTCAGTCTTCTCATGGGCTAAGATCAAAAACCAGCAGCAAAACACTAGAAACACCAAGCAAGAAAGAACCACACTCTCAGTCTTCTTATCATCTATGATCAAAAACCAACAGCAAAACACCACAAACTCCTTACCAAAACACACAAGTCCAAGGTGATGAAGCAACTAGCATCCAGATGAGTATCCCAACTTCAAAAGACTCAAGCTTAAGGAGGAAAAAACCTGTTAAACTCCACAGAAAGAGAGCTCACTACAGCATTCAATTCCGATCCAACATCTCATCTGTCGTCTCCTTTTTTCAAACACTTAAATTCAATTCAAAACAACTTCTAGAGCTTCAAAAGACCCCATTCTGGTATTTGATCTAAGCTCTAACCACTGGAATGATGGATCCAAAGAAATCTAGGAAATCCGATGATGATGTAGTTGCCATAATCCAATGTTACAATAAAAAAACAAAAGCATTCACAGTTGGTAAGAAGAACCTGACCTTTACAACAAATGACATGACCTTGATTTTTAGTTTGGAAGGAGGTAAAGGAGCCATGTCAATAAGATACTCTAAAAAGCCAAAATCTGCATTCCTCAGGAGAAGATTCCAAAAGGACACAAGGCTCACTAGTCCTATTCTTAAAAATGCCTTGGTCAAAGCAATAAAAGGCAAGCAACCAACTGACTTCAGAAATGTAGCAATCATTGTTACATTGTACTTGTGTCTCACCCTATTTTTTGCAACAAGTGGGAATTCGATAGGTTAGGTTTTTATAAAGTATGTGGAACCTCTTGAATCAATGAAACAGTATGATTGGCCGAAAGCAATCACATCAACATTGACTGATTCTATCATGGCATTGCACAAAACTCCAGAAAAAGCTACGGGGTGTGTCATTGCATTGCTGATAAGTATAATATCCATTCAAATTTGCAGTTATCATACTTACAAATTTGTGCGTTTAGAAAATTTTATTTACTTTAATTTTCATCACAATATTGGCTATGTGAACATGCAACTATCATTGACTCGGAAGACAGTAACACAACTGACTTCTCAAGATGTGCCAAGTGGAACCTGCAAACCTTGACGAAACAGCTGCAGAAGACACCAGTCCACTCTCTTGCACCTCGACAGGTTAGATTCCTATTGCTACTGAAATCTCAGTGAAATTCCAAAATTTCTCTGACCACTGCTTTGTTTCCCTCCTTGTGCATTGATTGATTAAGATCAATTTTCTCTGAACTATCAATTTATGTTTTCTTCTTTAGTTACCACTGGTCTATTTCTGCCATTGTAATAAATTTTCTCTGCCATCCAAATTTCTCTGACCACAATTGTAACACATTAACTTATATGTTTGATTGATTTTCTCTAATATCTGAATTATGTTGGTTGTTTCATAATTTTCTCAGGCCCATAAAATTTTATCTCCTTGTGTGTAATTTTCTCTGCCAATAACTTATGTGCATTGCGTCTTTGATAAACACTGTTTATTTCTACCTTTCTAATAAATTTTCTCTGGAATCCAAATTTCTCTGACACAATTATAGTAAAACATTAACTTATATGCCTTGATTGATTTTCTCTGATATCTAAATTATGTTGCTTGTTTCATAATTTTCTCTGCCTCGTAAAATTAACTCCTTGTCTCTAATTTTCTCTGGCCCATATAATTTTCTCTGAAGTTTGTTTCCCATTAATATCATTTAGATGAATTTTATTTTCCTTATTTGAATTTTTTCTCTCAGTGAATTTTGAAACATTTCTCTAATAAAAGAGTCTCCTGTTACAGATAGATGACAAGCAGCTAGTCAAAAACCTATCAGAGGAGTTCTGTCTTGGCAAAAAGACGAAGAAAGAATCAAAAAAGGCAATTGTCAAATTCAAGGAGACATTACAATGTCCATCTGAAGATGGAGGAAATGAACAAGCAGAAGGCAATGTAGAGGAATACAAAGCCAGCAATGGACAAGAACATCAAGCAAGCAGCGGAGAAGAAGAAACAAGAGAAGAAAGTGAAGAAATAGAAGCAGAAGACAAAGAACAAAATAAACAGAAAGAAAAAGACAATGAACAAGAAGATGAAGAAGAAGATGAACAGCAAGAAGAAAACAATGAGGAAAGTGATGAAGAAGAACATAATGAGCCGATGGACCAACAACGTGATACCATTTGTGGCTCAACAATGCATCCACCTGAAGAATTTGAGGAATCAAAGGATGCCCAAATTGCTGATCTACGTCAAAGACTGAAGGCACTGTCTCAATCTAAAAAAGAAGAAGAGAGAAATTGGATTGAATTACTTGCTGAAAAGGATATTGCAATAAGAATCCTGACATCACTTAACTCAGAACTTCAAGAAAAAGAAAGCACAATCCAAATGAAACTAAGGATGTTGGAGTGGAAAAAAGCAGACGATACAAAAAACAATTCAACAGTTGAGGTGTTCAAATTCGGAGCTTGAAACTGAAAATGCTAAATTGCATGAACAAGTTCAAGAACTATCCGTCCAATAGCAACACAACCATACCGAACACCAACACAACTTCACCACAAGGTCAGTGAAAATCTTGAGCCACAAAAAGTTATGTCCTTGTGTCAACATAACTTAGGAGATTTCTATTTATTATAATTTTCTCTGTCATTGTGAATTTTCTCTGGAAGTTATATTTCTCTGAATACATTAGTTATATTTCTACTGCTCATTTTCATTTTCTCTGTATATTTTCTTATTCCATTTTTGGGGCTTGTTTGATTTTCACTGTGTATATTGGAATGCATGTGGAACAATAACCAACAAACCAACAAGAACAAATGGCACACAAAGAACAACTGAAACAAAAGACAAAAGTCTATGGTAACTGCAAAATATTGATTCAAATAAATTTACATATTGAAATTCATCTGTTACTTTAGAGAAAATTTCACTTTTTCTAATATTTTCACTGTCTACAGTCAAAAAAAGATCCAACATCAATGATAAATTAAAGGCAAAAGAAAAGAAGGAAAAACAGCATGATCCAGAATTCCAATATCCCAAAGTTGCGAAAGTGACTAGAGCTTCAAAACAAGTCTACAAAGCAAGTTGACAAAGCACGAAGGACAAAGAAGTGCTGATGCTGATGCGTACGTCTTGCCTCAACTATAAACATCAGAAAATCTTGGGTCTTTCCACAAACTCTTTCCGATTTCAAGATTGATAAAAGATCATGTACAAGACATCTTGCATACAAATCAAATGTGTCTGGGCTTGAGTAAGTACAACAAACAAAATAGAAGATAACAAACAACAAAATTACAGACTTATATTGCATTAAACAACAATTCAATCCCTTCTTTGTCATCTTGTAGGGCTTTAATTTGGACAAGTGAGTTGAATCTCATTACCTTTGAAGACATTGGAAACCTAATAAAGCAAAAAGAAATTGCCAACAATGTAAGTCTTTCCCTTTCATCAAAATTTCTCTGCAATGTTCCATCAGCCTTTATAAACCAATACTACAATTATAAATCATATTTTTCAGGTCATTGATGGCTATGGAGAGATCCTTTTGGCTGACCAAATGAGAGAAAAAAAACAACTAACCTCATTTTTTTTCACATCCATGAGCTTAGTATGTTACTACTATTTTATTTGATTTTCTCTGAAATTTACTTACTACTTTCTCTTCTTACTTCTTGAAGCCAGTTGTGTCACTAGTCATAACAAAACCATTTTTTGATTTTCTCTGAACACAGAATTTCATCAAGATGACAGAAAATTTAACTTTTCGAGTGTCCTTATTTGACAAGCATATTGAAACAGCATGGAGGAACTACAGGTTCCTCCATTTCTCAATAAATACTGGAGGTAATGAGAAGTCCACACATGGAAATCACTAGACCTTGCTTGTCCTGGACAAACAAGACAATTTATGGAGGTTCTATAACTCATTGAGGCTAATGAGAGATGATACAGAAGACAAATATGTCAAAGATACAAAACAATTGGTAACGAGTGCAAATTTCTTTGATCCATCATCATCTTTATGTGATGATAATTTTCATAGAATCCCATTGATTTGTCCGTAAATTTCTCTGTTATTTAAAAATTATTTTTTTACAGCAAGATTACGTGGAGAATTTTTTAAAAGCTTGCCGTGAAAGAGACGCTCAATCACAACCCTCTTTCAAATTAATAAACTCACAAAACACAAGTTACAACTTTGAGTATGTCAACAATGCTCCACAACAAGAAAGTGATTAGTAAGTTTCATACATCTATAAATAAGATAATCTGATTTGCATGTTTCTTAAAACTAACCATACCTATAATTTGTATGCAGTCTGGATTGTGGCCTCTTTGTCTGCTATATAATGAAACAATATAGCAAACATGAACTTATCAGCTCCAAATTGTCCACACAAAAGATAAGGTTGATGAGGGCAGAACTCATACAGAGATTTGTGACCGAAGTTGGCCGGTCATGGACTGAACCAATTGAAATACCTCCAGAAGAACCACAAATGTAATAGTGAAACTAGTGAAAGGAAGACAATGTACATATCCACACAGAGAAAATTGTCTCACATATATGTATATATCCACACATGTTGATACATTGAAGGAATGATGATCCTTGACATATATGTATATATCCTTTCTTGACTAATCTAAGTTTCATTTTTTTTTATTTATTTCAACTAATGTAAATTTCATACCTATCGATGGTTAAATATATATAAATATATATTTTTTATTGTCATTCACAGAGAAAATTGTCTGCAGAAATTTCTCTGGTATGAACTACCTTAAATTCAAAGAGAAATTTAACTTGTATCGTCCCAAGGGGATGCCTATATGATCATGTAATCTGTAATACTTTGTGTTGGTACAAAACAATCATCAAACTCAACAAAACACAAAGCACACAATAATTTTATCTGCCACTGGAAAATTTCATTGCATGAATTTCAAATTTCAGAACACAATGCCCATATAGTTTTCTCTGATGGTGAAAAATTTCTCTGGATGAAAATTTCTCTGGCTTTGACACAAATTTCTGAGTTGAAGTGAGTCCAGAGAAATTCTTCCCTGGTCCAGAGAAATTCTCAACTCAGAGAAATTTCAAAAGTGCTTAATTTTGTTTCTTGGTTGTACAATAATTTTTTGTATGCTATGCCTGGTGTGCACATTTCTTCAAATGCTTGATATGAAACTACCAGAAATTCACAGAGAAAGTTAACTCATATCTCGCCAAAGAAGGTGCCTATATGATCATTCAATCTCTAATGCACTGTGTTAGTACAAAACAATTATCAAATTAAAAAAACACAATTCACACAGTACTTTTCTCTGCCATTGTCAAATTTATGTGGATGAATATGAAGCTTCAAAACACAATACACAGAATTCTCTCTGCCATAGGAAAATTTCTCTGGATGAATTTGGCAGGTCTTACAAACCCACTGCCTATAGTATATATCAACAAACACAATGCACACTTTAACTGATATTGGAAAATTTCTCTGGATGAATTTGATTGATATTATTATATACACTGTCTAAAAAATACATTTCACAAAACAAAATACACAAAGTAATCATCAAATGTATTACTCAATTAATAAAATGTATAATCCTCAACTATTTAACAAAGTTCCTTGCATGTCCTCTTATTATGGTGATCAATACTCTCACAACGACTACACTTAATCACCCTTTTAAACTCTCCAGTAGAAGCAATTCTGTTCTTCTTCGGCCTCCTAGCGGGTCTCTTGCTCAATGGAGGTAAAATCATAGCATCTTCAATGCTATACACAGGTTTTTCAACAGTTGGAACTGGGCCAATCGAAAACGAGTATGCTTGACGATGCATATCAGCATAAAAAAATGGTTCAACAAATGAATTCAAATTCTTTCCACTCCTAAAAATTGCAGCAACAGCATGTTGACACGGATACCCATTTATTTCCCATTTTCGACATGAACAAGTTCTCAACCCAAGATCAACCATAACCGAAGGAAAACAATGCACTTCAAAGACATTATCAGATGATAAACTCACATTCCATGTCCTCCCATCCAAAAAAGACTTCTCCAACACACTATCCATACGAGGACACAAAATTTTATTCCATTTACTAGAGAGCAGCCTCCTATCAGACCTCATATTCATGATTTGCAACCGTATCATGTCCACCAAATTTGTTATTGGCAAGTGCCGAGCTTCTCGTACCATACCTATAATTTGTATGCAGTCTGGATTGTGGCCTCTTTGTCTGCTATATAATGAAACAATATAGCAAGCATGAACCTATCAGCTCCAAATTGTCCACACAAGAGATAAGGTTGATGAGGGCAGAACTCATAGAGAGATTTGTGACCGAAGTTGGCCGGTCATGGACTGAACCAATTGAAATACCTCCAGAAGAAAGTCTTACTGTTTTTGTAAATTCATGTCACGTGTGTCTACCAATTTAAAAAGTTGACCATAAAATATGAACAAAAGGTAGATAACACAAAAATTACGCATCGGAACAAAATAGAATTTTCTGAACACTGTTTTTAAAAAATTAAACCAAAACAAGGTGTCTATTTTTTTTTTTTTTGGGTGCACAACATACACTTTTCTGAACATAAATAATTTTTTTGGGTGAACCAAAAAAAGGGAATCATAGACGTAGGCCCCTTCATCCTTGTCCCAACTTTCACAAGCAAGTGTACACATGAAATGCAAGAAAATGTACCCACCACCACCTTGTCTCATCTCTTCTTTCCCTTTTCATTTGTTTATATTCTTGTTTGTTGA